GAGTAGGAGAGTAGGAGAGTAGGAGTAGTAGTAGTAGTAGTAGTAGTAGTAGTAGTACTAGTAGTAGTAGTAGTAGTAGTAGTAGTAGTAGTAGTAGTCGTAGTAGTAAAATAGTTAGTCGTGGTGGTAGTGGTAAGTAAGTCAGTGAGTTAGTTAGCTGGCCTGCTGATAAGTATGTAAGCAAGCAAGCAAGTGAGCAAGAGGCAAGTAAGCAAACAAGCAAAGAAGCACACAAGCAGGCAAACCATAATTAGTTGTATCGTGATAAAAAGAATCCTTATGCCGGAAATACGAAGGATGAAGAGCATCATGACCCTCAGCTCGACATGACACACACATAAAACCGAAAGCTCCAGCGAAAGCAACACAACTGCAAGCAAAGGGGCAAGGCTTCCTCCCATCGGTTGTCCTTCGACAACTGCTGCCACTTATTGGGAGCTTCCGGTTGTGCGTCAAGATTTCTGAGCTTATGGCGCTGAGCGGACAAGAGCAAAGGAATGTCTCTTGAACACGAAGAGGAGCTTGCTGGTCGAAAATAGCAAGTAGGCAGTCAACCATGCCTTAATAAGTAATCCCAGTAAGCTGAATCAAACCCTAAACCCTAAACCCTTACAATGGCCTTTTAAACCCCAAAATTCTGAAGCAATGGACCAGCTCCTCTAGTCAGGGGGATGGAAGGTAAGGGCACAGCAGAAGAATCAACCCGAGGTCTAAATGCGCACATCTACATCACATATATATATATGTGTGTGTGTGTGTCTATTTTACATATATATATATATATATACATACACACATATAGATAGATAGATAGATAGATAGATAGATAGATAGATAGGTAGGTAGATAGATAGATAGATAGATACATAGAATGAATATAACAATAACTATCAATATTATTATTATTATCACCATATGTACTTACATATTTAACTAACTATCTATCTAATACAGAGCTTATGCCACACCCTCATCATCGTATAACATACATGGTGTACTGGGGCGTTTGAAGCAACCCTCAAAGGAGGTTGAGGAGGTCTTGGGGTGCCCCCTATGATGATAGGCCAGATATTTTGCCGTTTCGTATGATCCCCAATGATGTTTTTAGGCTCGGCCGTTGGGAAGCTACAGGGAGCCGCATAGTATTTACTTGCATGCGGTTATGCCGTAGGGGTTAAGCGAGGTTCCGGGATGTACATCATATTAAAGAATGGGTCTGTAGGCTTGGCAGTGGGGGGGTCTAGGAAACTTCCCCTCCTGGCTCTGCGGCTCAGGGAGGTATGTTGATGCGGTTCAGGGTTCAGGGTATAGCCTATTCTAAGCAGGAAGTACAAGTACGTGATGGCCACACAAGAGCACCTGTACGGCATATCACGGTGCAAACCCGTAGCACAAAACGAACAGTCTTCGGGGAGAAGGATCGCAGCGGCGATGATGGTGGTGGCGTGAGGAGGTTTGCAGTGGATTGCAAGAGGGACCCACCCTTATCATTATTATCATTATTCTTATTATTGTTACTATTACTATATCTATTATACTACTCAAAGTCTGCTTCAGGCTCACCAAACCTCAGGCCAATCAGGCTGTGGACAGGCAATGAAGAAGCGGCTCCTGGCCAAGTTGTAGAGTCCATTCGCGAAGCGGACCTGCCGTACCTGGATATGCGCTTGAAGCCCCTCATCCTTGAAGCCTACATGCCTAAACCCATGCATTTTAATGTTCAGGTTTGTTGGCCTCTCAAAACTTGGGCTGCCCTGGTCAGGCCCCGCGTTTATCCGGATCCTACCAAACGGGATCTAGAAGACACGGGTCCCATCAGACTATCGTCGATGGATCGCCTTCGGAGACTGCGTTGTGTGATGCTTGTTGCGCGATGTCCTCATTTAGATCAAACCCTAAACCCTAAATCCTAAACATGAGTAAATCCTACATCGTAAGAGAAACGCTCAACTTCGAGCTGAAGAATTAAACCCTCAACTAATTCCTACACTCTGAACCCCAAAAATCCGTACTGAAGGGGCCTTAAAAAATCAGAATAGGGGTTTGGGGTAAATAAGGAACTCCCCCCCCTCCCCCCAAAAAAACAAAAAAACACATACCAATAAGTAGTTAATAGTACCGGCAATTCTTTAGGCCCCTCTTCTAGCTTTCAGGATGGACCTCGGCCTTGGAGAATGAATCGTGGCAGGGCTTAACCAGACCGTTCTTATCCCGGGCCGCGTCCTCCTGCCCCTGTCGTGCTAAACCCCTAAACCTCAAACTTGAACCCCTTAAACCCCAAACCCTAAGCCCTTTATTCATAAACCTCTAGACTCTGCCAGACCCGGAAAGCCCAATACCCTGCATGGTCCCGGTTTAGGATTTGGGTGATGCACCTCTCAACAATAGCTGCGTTGTCTACCTTTACCTCCAACCGGATTCCTACTCTTTACGTAAACCCTGAACCCCAAATCGTCAACCCTACACCCTCAACCGCTTAAGTCTTTAAGGTACATCTTGCGCTTAGTAGGGTAGTGAAATCTGCTGGGCTTGGATAGAGCTGGAAAGAATTTCAGCCCCGGCCTCGTTCAGGGTAATGCAGGGGCCTTGATACGTATCTGTGCATTCCAAGCCATACTTCCCAAATGATCCTAAAGCCGTGCAAACAAAGACGTTTCGCGTGCAAGCAGGCCGCGAGTTACACCTGAACTGAGTATTTGGGCACTCTTGCACATGAGATCGGTTGTCTTGTGCAAGGGAGGAGCATAAGAATTTACGTATGTGAGTGTCCAGCTGCAAGCCTCGTGACTATTCGCAAAGCCGCAAACCAACATCCCGTCGGCTTAAGAAGCTTGTCGGGAGCAAAACCCGCAACAGCATGATCTTCATGTCGGCATGATTAAAGTATATCCAAAACCCAAAACCGCGAGCCCTAAACCCTATACTACAGATCCCAGCAGGAGTCACCCTTAGCAAACCGAAAACTTAAACCCCAACAGCAACAAGAGTGCTCTGCACCCTTGGACCTTGGACCGTAGAAGCCATAGTTCGAGTGCTCCGATTCGACCTAATATGGGGGCCTTTAATAACTAGGATAGAGTTTTGACGGCTTGGAGGTGTTTCATTTCATATCTCATACTAGAATAGACTATCTTTACAACAGGGATCCCCACAGTAGTATTGGGGGGGAGTGTAATTACTTAGGCCCGTATAGAATGACAACCAACTCCGCAACCCAAAACACGAACAAACCTTTGACCCTGAGCGGGAAAGCCCCCAATCTGATGACCCCACCTACAGTCTCCGTTGTAGTTCCTGCTTTTGGTTTGAGCGGCTTTATACTAAGGATCCTCTCAGGAAACCCAAAACATATGTCGGCCCTTAGAAAAACACCCTAACCCCCCAGGTACCTACCGTATAGGGTACTAGAGCCCCTAGGGCCCTATATAGTAGGTACCTGGGAGGTTGGGGACACCTACTGACACCAACGTGGGGAAGCCTGCCCCGCACTGGGAAGGCATCGTCGCGACACTGAGGCCATTGAGGCTGAGCACCTGTGTGACCGATTCTTCAACAGACTCCAACAGTAAAGCTTCAGTTCAGGATGGCAGCAATCTGTTGCTACTGATATGGGCAGTTCTCTAAATTAGGGCCCCTTTTCAGGTCTCCAATATAGTACGGCACTCTGAGTCTATTTTAGAGAACTACCCACATAGGAACCTGACTAAGAAACTCAGGGGCTTGTTGACAGTTCTTTACATGGATGTCGGAGATCTGCTGCAAACACTCGATCTTGGCGAGAGCGGTGCCTGAACTCTGACGCCGGAGCCCTAAACCCTTAAACTCTAAACCATCTGGGCCCGTGGGTTTGTCGGTATGTTGGAAAGTAAAATGCTGTAGATGTGTTACCGCACACCCTAAAATCCCGAAGCTGTGCCCGTTTCTGGTGGTCTGGGGTGAGGAGTCAGGATTTGTGAATTTCAGAACAACGGACAGAATCAACAAAGAATCCCTGAAACGTAAAAGAAAACAATCAGGCTCGTCCCAAACCAATCCTAAATCCCAACAAAGGACA